TTAGACCTTCCCAAAGTCTAAAGATATACAACATTATGATATGATTTTCAAGACATTCCTTTTAAAGCCTGTTTCCCCAGCTGACAGAGTCAAACGCCTACAGAAGATTCTATAGGTCTGCTAAACACTAATTTCTAATCTCTTTGAGTTCTTATTCATCCTCTTTTTTTTCCAATTTTTTGCATTAGTTTGCAGTATAATACTTCTTATCTGCAGAGTAGGAGTAGAATGTACTTCATTGGAACCTGGATTTAGTTTACCCCATTTTTTTTTCACTAAGGTAAAAGAGTAATAATATATCCTAGTGGAGAGGGATACTTGAAGAACAGCAGAGTGGTTAAGACCAACTCCTTTTTGGAGTATGACACCCCTATTGAGGTAGCAAGTAGAGAAAGAACTTAGCATGTTCATCAAAGATATAAGCAGAATTTCCCTGAAAACACAAACACTGGTCTCATATCGCAGCCCTTGTTCTCTAGACATTAAATAATTTTTAGCTGCATAACTCTGGGCAAGTTACTTAAACTATCTTTGCTTCATTTCTTTCATTTGTAAAATAAGGATATGGTTGTTGTATGAAGTATGTTAATACACATACAGTGTTTAGAACATGGGCAGGTATATAACACCCTCATTAAGTGTTTGTAAATGTATGAATATAAATGTGTTTGATAAGGGTTTAAATGAATCAACTGTGTTTAAAGTCCAGCTTACATAGCTGGGGTTGACTATTCCAAGTTAGATTCTCTCACTGAGCTCTAGGCATATCCTCTATTGCAGGTGTTAGGCCCAACTCTTAGATGCTCCTTCATTCTCTCCTTCTTTCTTAAATACATATTGGAAACAATGTAAATGCCCATTGATGAATGAATGGATAAAAAAAATGTGACACAGCCCTTGCCCAGTTTGTTGGAACATCATCCCATACACCAAAAAGTTGTAGGTTCAATTCCCAGTCAGGGCACATACCTACGACATGGATTCAATCCCTGGTTGGAGCTTATATGGAAGGCAACCAATCAATGTTTCTCTCTCACATGAATGTTTCTTTCTCTCTCTTTCTCTCTCCCCCTCCCTTTCTCTCTCTCTAAAATCAATGAACATATCCTTGGATGAAGTTTTCTTTTTAATGTAATACACACAATGGAATAATATTTAGCCATAAAAAGAAGGAAACCATGTCATTTGTGACAATATGGCTGGACATTGAGGGCATTATGCTAAGTGAAACAACTCAGATAGGAAAAGATAAATATTGTATGATCTCACCTATATGTGGACTATAAAAACAAAACAAACAAAAAACTGGAGCACATGAATATGGAGAACAGATTGGTGGTTCTTTGAGGTCAAAGGTTCAAATTTCCAGTTATAAAATGAATGAATCCTGGGGATATAATGTACAGCATGGCAACTGTAGTTAAAAATACTGTATTGAAAATTTGAAAGTTGCTAGGAGAATGGATCTTGAAAGTTCTTGTCACAAGAAAAAATTATAACTATGTATGGCGACAGATGTTAACTGGCCTTATTATGGTGATGATTTTACAATATGGACAAACATTGAATCATTACATTTTATACATGAAACTAATATGTTAATTATACCTCAATTTTTAAAATATCATTTGTCATGCATATATAATACATATATATGACATCATATATGTATATCATAACTATTAGCAATGCAAGGCTCTGAAGGGTAGCAGAATATTCATCCCAAAATACACCTCTCAGCATAATGATTATTGTGCGCTAAAGGCAATTGAGAAGTTGAAACAAGGAAAGCTCTTCACCCTACCCCTACTTAGCTAAAAGCAGGACATAAATTTATGAAGGTAGTCCCCTTTCCCTCTTTAATAGGAAAGACAAAATTTACCTTGTTAGCCCAGAGAAGTTACCAAAGTAATCTACATAATAAAATTTATCAACTAGCCTTTATCTTCTATTAGTCCCCCTATATATTTGCCTTCCCACAATTTGCCACTCCTAGAAACTCAAAATGTTTCCTCTATCTTGCCACTAAAAATTTACTCTTCTATTGTTAAGATGCTGTATGAGCCCAAGTTCTAACCACGTGCTGAGTTACTCATCCCTATGTACGCATGATGCAGGTGTTAATAAATTTGTTTGTTTTTCTCTCATTAATCTTTCTGTTGTCAGTCTATTTTACAGGGCCCCAGCCAGTACACCTAAGATGAGTAAAGCAGAAAAGGATTCTTTTCCTCCTTTACAGCTTTACTGGTATAGTGAACCTCTACCGATCCAGAGGAGCTTCCCACATGCCAAGTGGGAAGTTGAACTTCACTAAAAGTTTAAATCGCTGCTTCAAGGCAGTATAGTACCAGGGAATGGGGCAGGACTGGATGTTTCTTGCCCTGCTCGTATTTAGTGGTTCACACTCTTTACACCATGGAAAAGCAAAGTAATTAGTACAGGAAAAACAGGAGACTGGTACATGACAAATGAGTAGATTATGTTTAAATATTTTAGAGATTACTCCAGAGCATCTCAACCTTTTCAAAATGATAGGTGGAAGAGTGTCACAGAGGCTCCACCCTAGACCTCCTGCATCAGAACGCCAGAGGGTGAGGCCAAGCTTTTTCTTCCTTTCTTTTTCCATTCACATGTAACTCCCAAATGCAACTGGAATAAGTAATCTCAGCTTTCCTGCAATCTAAAAGATCCCATTTCTCTTCCGCTGTTTCTCTTTCATCCATCACTGAAGTCGGATTATTCTAAATTTGGACATTTAACAGCATAGTGTTTTAGTCCCAGGTATCAAGAAGTTGATGTGTGTGGATATTAATGATTTTCTAAATCTTTGGCAGAACCAGAGTCATTCTAAAATCCATTGCTCTGGGATACCATGAAACCTGACAAGTGAAAATGCGAAGTGTCTAAACCCATCAGCCAAACTGGATATCTATAGGGAGTTCAGTGAGAGCGTCTGTCACACTAACGGGGTATCTCCTGGGTTCAGGGACGGGGGAGTATAATGAGACAGGAGAATAGACACACCCCAAAACAGCCACCCCACAAACAGCATCCGCGCCACAGCTGTCACTCTGGAAGGTTCAACACTCCCTCTTAAACCTGCTACTCAAACTAGTTTTGCAAGAACCTTAATATACTCTCATCTATGGCTACTTTTACAAGAAGAAGGAGAAGCTGGTATCAGGGGGAATTCTGATGATTGAGAAATTATTCTTTGAAAAAAGGTAAACAATTTTCTTCCTGGAAATGACTCAGTTTTCAGGAGCTTCATATTGCTGATGCAAGAGTAAGTAAATGGTGAGCAGAATTAAATGGAAGAGCCTAGAGTCTACTTCAGCTTATGATACTGAGATGCATAGTCACAGTTATTTCAACACTACCTGAGACTATTTTTGTTTCAATATTAATTATGAGCTTTGAATAATTACCTCTTATCTTCTAGGTAAATTAGGGGTTTTTTTTATGTACAGTTATTGTATATTTTTAATATCATAGTAAATCAAAGTTTCATTGTCCTCAACATATCTGAAAAGTAAAGCATATATTCCACTTCCAGGTATCTTTTCATTGATACTTGTAAGTAATTCAACATGTCTTGCCTTGCCTTGCTTTGCCTTGACTTGACCACTTGCCAAATCAAGAAACGATTGCACTGCTCGTGCAAAGATTTTTTTTTAATGTAACTATTCCCAGAGCCTCGACTTCAGCCTAGCTATTCATTGGCTCTGTCCAGTGTGGTATGTGGCACAACCATCAAGGATCTGATATGAAAAATCTTAGTCCCACTCAGCCCTGCAGAATAAGGAACTGCATTTAAACAAGATTTAAACAAGATCTTGGGGTGATGGGTGTGCACATTAAAATTTGAAAAGCACTAGCCCAGAGCAGCGGCTCTCTTCCACCGGTGGTAAGCTGATCACCTATCTCAGAATCACCAGGGTGCTCTCCTAAAAGTAGGTTTCTGGACACTCTCACGGGCTGAGTGAAACAGGCTCTCTGGGGTTGGGGCACTTGAAACTTTTTGAAAATTTTATTGAAAAATGTTAAACAATTTTTTTCTCACTGACACTTAGGCATTCTAAAGCTTGAAGTTCTGGAGTAGCATTTTAGAGCATTACAAGTGTCATTTTCATCTATGTGAGCTTTTAACCAGACCAAAGTCACTGGGCAAGATATACCTAGAATTATAAACTAATCAAACACACACACACACACACACACACAAATGGCATTAGAAATAATTGCAAATGGAGGTACTAGACAAACCACCTAACGAGGTTCTGCTTAGCATCTGTAATGAAATGCAGACCAACCAGTTAATGTGTTAGAACGAACAAATAGTGAGTAATAATGTCATCACATTTCTTGTACTTGTTTAAGCATTACTCACTTGTACTCCTTTGAAATGTAGTTAAAAATCAATTTGATTTTAATAGGCTACTTTCAATATAGGACAAAGCACTTTTTTGTATTCATCAGATGTGAAAAGAAAAAACTCAAAAAAACATTTAAAACCCTCTTGGTTTTATTTGTCTTCTATACAAAGTATTAAAATTGCTAGAGGTGAATTTCCTTTTAAATACCAAGCTGAAAGGTGTTACCCTGTACATGCGTTTCCAGAGAGAACCAGTCTATCTTTTAGTATGTTTAGAAAACCCAGGTAGGTACAATTTTCACTTTTCCTCTGGATGTTTGACATCAGAAAAACACGACCCAAATTCTACTTTTGCAAGGTCTAAATTACCCCTGCAAACGTGCACATCCTGAATGTGTTGTATTCCTGTCCATTTACATGTAGTTAACATTTTTGAATTGCCAGTTTGCTTTAAGATATGAAAAATACCAGAAAGAATAACACACAGGATTTTGTTTTCACTGGCTCTCACAGAAAGTTAAACAGAAGGAAAGGAGACATTAACAGGGATAGGAAATTACTACATTTGAAAAACATGAGCATTTTTTAACACCTTTGTTGTCTTACTTTCAGAAAGACTACGTACCTCAGAGTATAGGATTCCCATGCCGGTGCCTCACAGACTTACTTCACCTCCACGGCTTCTTGAATCCTCCAGAGGTATTTCTGATTAACGTCAAAAGGCTTCCCGGCAAAGAAGAGCCCAGAAGCCCAGGTCAGTGGCAAACGCTTTCTTTTCTCACCTGCGAGTGCTTTTCCAGCAGCACCGGCAGCAACACCACCTTGTAGAGGGCCCAGCTTAATGAAACAAAGGCATTAGTTACCCTGTAATGACCCACGCAGTGCATCATCTAATGTTACAAACAACCCTGAGGAACCGGTTTCTGAGTCATACCTGCTCAGCCCGTGGTAGCAAGTAGAAAGAAGCGAAGTTGAGGAAGAAAGGAAAGTTCTCACATTGGCAGGAAGAACGCAAAGTTCAAAATAGGGCAGTGCATTTAGGACATTTCCTAATCGAACTCTGGCTTACGGAAGCTATTGAGAAAGACTGGAGACCATTGATCTCGTGTTTTAGAACCCCATGTCTGCCAAAGGGCTTGCTTGACCTTCATGAAAAATAATCTTCAAAATTTGCTATGGATTATTTTCTTTCTTTAAGTACAGATAAGTTTATTCTTCCTTGATGTTGTCGATTAATATAAACTACTTCAAATAATAAATTAAGGTCAATTTATAAGCTATTATACATACATTATTCTATTTATATACATAAGTTATTACTTTATATTTTTATAAAAATATATTATTTCCTATACATAAATGTGTTCACATTCACTTTCAAAGGCACCTTTTTTTTAAGGATATTTTATTATTTATTCTGTCACAGTTGTCCTAATTTTTTTCCCTGTATCCCCCTCTGCCTTGTACCGTCTTCTCTACAGCAACCCCACCACACCCCCACTTAGTTCATGTCCATGGGTCATGCGTGTAAGCTCTTTGGCTTCTCCCTTTTCTATAATACTCCTAACATCCCCCTGTCTATGTTGTTCCTACCATTTATGCTTCTTGATCCCTACACCATTTCCCCCTTTCTTTTTTTTTTAATTTATTTACTTTTTAAATACATTTGTCTCTGCCTCCCCCCCCCCCACCTCTTTCCCTTGCCCCATCCCTCCCTCCCTCCCTCAGCTCTTCCCCTTTGGTTTTGTCCATGAGTCCTTGCTATATGTTCCTTGACTTTCCCCTTCCCTTCCCTTTCCCTGCCCCCACCCCTTCCCTCTTGTCTCTGTTGATTTCTTTTCCTTTCAGTGTTGCTGGTCATATTTTCCTTGCATCTTTGCATTGTTGGTTAGGTTCCTCTTATAGGTGAGATCATATGGTATTTGTCTTTCGCCCCCTGGCTTATTTCGCTTAGCATAATGCTCTCCAGTTCCATTCATGCTGTCGCAAAGTTTAGTAGTTCTTTTTTTCTTTCTGCTGCGTAGTATTCCATTGTGTATATGTACCATAATTTTTTGATCCAATCATCTACTGATGGGCATTTAGGTTCCTTCCAACACTTGGCTATTGTAAATTGTGCTGCTATGAACATTGGGGTGCATAGGTTCTTTTGTATTGGCGTTTTGGTGTTCTTAGGGTATAGTCCCAGCAGGGGAATCCCTGGATCAAAAGGCAGTTCCATTTTCAGCTTTCTGAGGAAATTCCACACTGCTTTCCATATTGGCTGCACCAGTCTGCATTCCCACTAACAGTGTACTAGGGTTCCCTTTTCTCCACAGCCTCACCAGCACCTGTTGTTTGTGGATCTGTTTATGATGGCCATTCTGACCGGTGTGAGGTGGTACCTCATGGTGGTTTTGATCTGCATTTCTCTGATGGCTAGTGATGCTGAGCATCCTTTCAAATGCCTCTGGGCCCTCTGTATCTCCTCCTTGGAAAAGCATCTGCCCAGGTCCTTTGCCCATTTTTTGATTGGATCGTTTGTCTTCTTGGAGTGGAGTCGAGTGAGTTCTTTATATATCTTGGAGATCAAATCTCTATCTGATGTATCATTAGCGAATATATTTTCCCATACGGTTGGCTCCATTTTCATTTTGCTGATGTTTTCTTTCGCCGTGCAGAAGCTTCTTATTTTTATGAGGTCCCACTTGTTTATTCTTTCCTCAAAGGCACCTTTGAGTAAAGTTTGAGCAACTCAAATTGAAAAAAATTAAACTGAAGAATCAATCTATTTACATTCTAGTTAATTAAATTATAGTAAAAGGTTTAAATTGCATTTATACCATCACTATATTTAAGTCTTCTTTTTAGGCACTTCAATTCTGAGCCTAACAGGTAATACTTTTCCAGCTAATTAAATGGTCTTATAAATTTAATAAATTATACTAACATAATAAATATTAAGTCTTAATTTGTCCTCAACATTCTAATGCTATTTACAAATTTAGCCACATTACTTTCTAGTATTCAATTTAAAAATTGTAAGTCTAAAACCAAGTACTCTATTTACACATTTTAAATGGAATCAGAAGGCCACTTGATCAAACATGCTAATGTGCCAAATCTTTTAAACGCTGTAAACATTTTATATACTAAATATCATATATTCAAACACTTTTCTCTGAACTTAATACAACCATAGCAAAATGTTAAAATACCCGTACACACCCATGAAAGAAGCAGTTGAATCATTCCAAGCATTCTGATGGGATTGTTTCCATCAGTTCAGGTTCTTTAGTGGCCAAGGTCAGGGACCAGGATTCAAATCTTACTCAGGGAAATTCTTCCTAGTCCACTCATCACAGATGAATAATTTTTATAATTCTTATAACAAGAATTACATACTTTACTATAGACTTGGACTTGGGGCCAAGCTGGTAGAAGTTTAAGAATTTAGTAATCCTGTTGGAGACAGAAAGTCTGCAAAACCCTCTCAGATTGCCCCTGACTTCCTCTTTGGCTTGCTTTAATTTTGCATTTCTTTAGTTTCTTAAGAAATGGAAGTGTTTTTGCCATTGACTTAAACATTGGAATTTCCATTGAGTCCATCATTTTGTCAAGCAAATCTTTCATAACCCTCTTTTAACTTCTTTTGTAACCTCTCTTAACCAACTTGTGTGGCAGGACATTTCCGGCTCACTACCTCCTTCCAAGGGTTGCTGCTAGCTTCCTTCCCCAAGCTCTTTCCGCTCTGATGAAACACAGAGGTTTCTTTAATTCTCTATCAGGACCGCAGTTCACCTAATTGGATTCTGCATCCTGACTCTTCACTGCATCTTAAAGGGTAGCAAGGTATGCCATTCTAAAATATGGTTCTTCGGCCTAAAGATTACTTTGAATTGATTATTTTTGACAAACTGTAGACATACAGGAGAGTCTCTGAAAATAGGGTAGTATTTAACCAGTTGTAAGGAATATTTAAATTTATAAATGAAATATCCATTTGTAAAGGTCTCTTCTGTCTGTACCAGGCAGAAGGATGACTCAAAATCCCTGGAAACTCTTGTCAGGAGAGAAGCCCATAGACCCTGCCTAACCAGCTTTACCCTTGTTTGCTATGCTTTTCCTGGTAACCTCCCGTAACTGCCTCTCCCCAACATCTTTCTTTTGTCTTTAGCTCAAAATAGTACTTGAAATGGTGGCTTAGACCATTTCAGGGAGTTTCCTCAGTGTTCCTGGGTATCTCCCATGTATACATGAGTTATACATGTTATTCAACTTCTGTTTGCTCTTCTCTTATTAATCTCTTTTATTATAGGGGTGGGAAAACCTCAGCCAAGAACCTAAAAGAGTATAGAAAAAATTACTTTTTCTCCCTTATAATGTAGTTGTAAGTGTGCAATCCACATTATGATTATGAAAAGTGAACTCCTTCAACGTAGGGTTAACTCTAAAGACAAATCAATAAAAAAAAAATTGACTCATTGCAATCAGTAAAACACTTATGTGTAACTCTAGGCTAGTGAGTGTCTACCCAGGTATGATTTTTGCCCCCAGGTAGAACTGCCAGATTTAGCAAATAAAAACACAGATACTTGGTTAAATTTGAATTTTAGATAAATTTCTGAAATATTGCATAGGATATACTTATAGTAAAAAATTATGTGTTGTTTTAATGAAATTAAAAAAATATTTGACAATGTCTGTAGACATTTCTGATTGTCTCAGCCAGAGCAGAGGCATGTGACTTATGTCTAGAAAATAGAAGCCAAAATTGTGGCAAAACACCGTACAGCATGCAGACAGCCTCTCTCAGCAAATAGTTATTCTGCCCAGTAGAGAAACCCTAGTCTAGGCCAACAGAACAATTAAAGGTGAAGAAAGAGAAATTTGACAAATTTATAGCATTAGAATGGACTAGGTTGTAGAGGAAGGAAATAATCTTTTTGTCTGCCCTTTTAGGTTCTTGCCTGGGACTCTGTAACAAAACACACATCAATAAGAGAAAAACAAAACTTTGTTAACATGTACATCATATACATACATGGAGAAACTCAAGGATGTGAAACTCAAAGAGGTGTTTAAAATTTAGGGCAAAACTACAATGACAGACCAACTCACACCTGTTAGAATGGCTATTATCAAGAAGACAAGTGATAACCAGTGTTGGAGACATTATAAAAAGAAAAGGAACCTTCATACACTGTTGGTGGGAATATAAATTGGTACAGCCATCATGGAAAACAGTATGGAGGTTCCTCAAAAAATTAAGACTAGATCCCTGACTGCTGTGGTTCAGTGGATTGAGCACTGGCCTGTGAAGCAAGGGGTCACTGGTTGGATTCCCAGTCAGAGCACATGCCTGGGTTGCAGTCCAAGTCCCCAAAGACGGGGGCATGAGAGGCAACCATACGTTTTTTCTTGCTCTCTTCCTCCCTCCCTTTCTCTAAGAATAAATAAAATCTTTTTTAAAAATTAAGACTACAATTACCATATGACTCAGCAATTCTTATTTTGGGTATCTACCTGAAACATTTGGAAACATTTTTCTGTAAAGATATACATACCCCTATGTTCATTGCAGCATTATTCATGGTGACCAAGACACAGAAACAACCCAAGTGTCCTGCAATAGACGATTGGGAAAAGAAGATGTGGTGCATATACACAGTGGAATTCTCAGCCATCAGAAACGATGAAATACAGCCATTTGTAACAACATAGATGGATTGAGAATGTCATGCTAAGGAAAATAAGTCAGATGGAAAAAGTAAGAACTATATAATTTTACTCACATGTGGGTTATAAACTAACAG